AGTTATAAACAGAACGTAGGCAGAAAATGGAGCAGAAAAATAAGAAACTGAAACGAGCAAGAAATAGAAGAAGTACTTAATACTAAAAATTATCAAAACTAACCCTCCTAACATTAATAAATACCCTGCAAAAAATTGCGCGACTAATCTCTAAAAAGAGTATTCCGAGATTACTCTCAATTAGCAGGTACAATTGGGCATTAATTAGTCGCAACTATTCTCATACGGGTACTAATGGAGATCAATTAGTCTCGACTCATCCCTTGGAGATCAATTAGTCCCCGACTTATCTCTAACGGGTACTATTAACGATTTAATGATATGTACGCACTTAGTAAAGGAAATTTCATGTGCGGCGATGGCACATAGAGATAGTATTCGCTTAACAAAACTGGGAACCCCGGTTCGAGTCGCAGCTGGCGAAAATTTTTCTTTTTATTTTTTAAAAGTGACTAGTCGCAGTTTATACCCGTTCGGGTAAAAAGGTGAACAATTAGTCTCTTCATAGGACATGCTCGAACAAAAGCGAACAGTTCATTCCATATAAAGAGATCAAAAGTGGTATTAGTCGCATGTTCCTTTGCGATTGATCCCGGAGTCATCCCGGATTGGTCGCATTTTTTGCAGGGCCCTGCAAAAAATTGTGCGACTAATCTCTAAAGAGAGTATTCCGAGATTACTCTCAATCGGGTACAATTGGGCATTAATTAGTCCCAACTAGTCTCATACGGGTACTAATGGAGGTCAATTAGTCTCGATTCATCCCTTATTGGTATAATTGGAGATCAATTAGTCCCCAACTCATCTCTAACGGGTACTATTAACGATTTAATGATATGTACGCACTTAGTCAATGAAATTTCATGTGCGGCGTTGGCACACAGAGAGAGTACTCGCCTAACAAAACTGAACACCCCGGTTCGAATCTCAGCTGGCGCAAATTTTTATTTTTTTTTAAAGTGACTAGTCGCTTTTTATACCCGTTCGGGTATAAAGGTGAACAATTAGTCTCTTCATAGGACATGCTCGAACAAAAGCGATCAGTTCATTTCATATAAAGAGATCAAAAGTGGTATTAGTCGCATGCTCCTTTGCGATTGCTCCCGGAGTCATCCCGGATTAGTCCCATTTTTTGCAGGG